ACAGCAACTTGTCTGTTCCCCTCCCCCAATTCCCCAATAAAATCTTTAAAAAAAAAAGAAAAGAAAAAGAAATCCACATACGGATACAGATGCTGGGCTTCAAATAGGTTTACATAGTGATTTACTCATCTAGACACACCAGCCTCATAGCATGATTTAAATTGCTGCCTCAGTAAGTTATGCGTGATTAATATGTGAAACGTGGAATGTTAAAATGAAAGAAAGGGGTCTGTTTAAAACTACTTAGGAAAACTGACTATTAAGATACATTGTAAGCCCATTTGTATATATGATCTGGCCTCTACCTTCCTTTCGGATCTCATTTCATATTACTCTTCCTAGTTGGTGACCTCTAGCCACTGGCCTTCTTTTCTTCCTGGAACATGCCAAATTCATTCCCACCTGAGGACCTTTGTTATTGCTGTTTCCTCTGCCTTAAAAACTCTGTTCAAACTGTGGATTTCCACATTACTAGCTCCTTCTTAACCTTCACACTTCAGCTCAGATGTCACCTCCTCAAAAGTGACCCAATTACCCTATATCTAAAGTAGCCCTCTAGGCAATAACTCTTACCACTTATAATTTTTTCATCTTTCTTATTACTATCTGAAATTCCTATTTGTTTATTCTCTCGCTATCTCTGTCTCTGTCTCTCTGTTGCACATACACAAATCCTAATGAGCACATCAGTTTTGTTCATTAGCCTCCACATTAGTGCTTAGTACTTGTTGTAGGCACTCTATAAGTATTTATTGAATGACTCAATGTATTCTATTACTAATTACAAAAACTATTAGGTAAAATTTTTAATTCTAATAGTAATACATGTTAATTGTAAAAAATCAAGCAATTCATAAATATATGAAATACACTATAAAAGTCTTTCCTTACCTACCTCCCCAACTCCAGGAGGGTAACAGAAATAATATTATTTTGTATACTTACCATTGTTTTCTGTGCACATCAAATAAATAGATATCTGTGTGTGCACTTATGCATGTGTGTGAGTGTATGTTATATATGTTTGTACTGATAATATACAGGACTAATTTTTTGTTGTTTTTTTATTCACTATATCAGGAATATCCTTCCATATCAAACATGCAGGTTTAATATATTCTTTTTTTATTAGCTGTATAGTTTTCCACAGTATCAGTATACAAGTTTCATCCATGTTGTAGCATATATCAGAGTTTCTTTCCTTTTTAAAGATGAATAATATTCTGTTGTATGTATATGAGTGAGTATACCATATTTTGCTTATCCATTCGTTCATCGATGGCACTTGGGTTGTTTCCACTTTTGGCTATTGTAAATAATGCTGCTATGAACATCAGTATCCAAATAGCTCTTTGAAACACTTCTTTCAATTCTTGGGTATATGCCCAGCTGTGGGATTGCTGGATCATATGTTTTTAATTTTTGGAGGAACTCCCAAACTGTCCCATAGCAGCTGCACCATTTTACATGGCCACCAACAGTGAACAAGTGTTTCAATTTCTCCATATCCTTGCCAACACTTTTTATTTTCTGTTTATTT